ATAAGCCTTTTCATGCCTTCTCGGTGCCGGGCCAAATCCGCGCCTGTCGTCCCAATCAGCATAGCTTCGGCTTTTCGTAATTGGACGATATACGTCATTTGAAGTAGAGCGACTTCGATGGGGTGGTGGTATTGGAGCTTCATGATCTGATCTAGGAAGTGTTGGCGGAAATTCGACAAATGGGACGTTCTGCTGGCTGCCGCGGTAAAAATTTGAAGAACTGCGGCGCTCTTCATGACCACCAGAGTGAAACACATCGCCTGTAGTTATTATAATAGTTGGAACGGTAGCAGTAATAAGTGTCCAGCAGACTAACTTTTAAAAATAAGGTTTACTATGCCAACAAATGTCGATAAGACTAACGGGTAGAATAACTTTTATGCATTCGACCATCGTTTCGGCGAGATGAATGAATAACCTCTCGTACTTCACCATTAGGAATATACCTTGCCTCACCTCGACGAAGACTGTCAGAAACTGATCCATGTCGTCCATCATTATAATAATCGTAATACTGCCCACCACTGCCATGTTTCTAAAGTAAAAGTGGTTGAGGTCAATCCATTTTTGGCAGAAACCAAAAAAACCGCGGTCATTTTGGTTTTGAAGGTCTACGAAACAAAAACCAAACAGTAGCACTTTTTATTACCGTTTCCCTACGAGTACTCGATGAGCGCATGTAACTTTCATGACTTGGCCTGTAATCTCGGTAATTACTTCCATATCGATAGTTACCTTAAATGTAAAAAGGATTAGGTGATGCATCTGAAAAAGTGAAAGGTGATTTGCATGCAGTTAGAGCATAACAAACTGAAGCAAACTGGTGTTATTTCGCTTGAAAGTGGTAAAATGACTTGAAGCAGTGACTTGCACCAGGTGCAAAAACGATGAACAAATACGTACGAATATTTTGGTGAATTCTATCTACAGCTTCGTACGCATTACGAACAGCCGCATTTAGCTCACTAGGTGAGTATGCTCTCCTTTCATAAATTTTCTGCACTCCTTCCGAATCCCGTGCCCACTGCTGTGATTGAGACGTTTTAGTTTCCAAATTTGTCTGTGCGTAACTGCTTTCCGTTTCCTTTCTTGACTCACGAGAATTGAAATCTTTTTTCATCGCATGAGTATTTTGGGAAGTTTCATCTGCATTAGGTATAATTCTACGGTAATACTCCTTCATTCCTTGCAAATTAGCAGTATCTGTAAGGGTGGAGCGAACACATTAACGAAAACAACGCAAGACATAGAACTAGTGACACAAAAAGCGCTGGCAGACGACGACTTCGCTAAGAATAAAGATAAGCATGTGCTAAAACGAGCACAAATTTGAAAATGGTGAGACATAACCAAGTGGCTGTATAACAAATACTGTGCTTATTTAAATATTCAAAATTCATATTCAAAAAATTGCGTAAAGAACAGGAAACTATACCGGCTGAGTCGTATCCGCTAACCATTTCATGTGAACCTCCATGATGATACCCACTTCTTTGTTTTTTCTCCTTCTTTTCTCTTCTTAGTCTAGTTCTTTCAACCTCTTCACGCCGAGTGTGTTCTTCAACTTTTTGGATAATTTCAGTCACTTTAGGTTTCTAAAATAATATTAGCGTAATTAAATGTGAGAATTACAGCAATCTGTTAGAACGGAAGAATGAGAAGCGTAAAACGCCCACGCCCTTTACCTAAAAAAAGTCCAGTTATACTTCATTAATGCTGTATTACAAAACCAAAAATAACTTTTAAATTCACTAAATAAATGCCATTCAAACCAACCGCTTGAAGGACTTCCCTTTGCTCCCAGTGATCCTGTTTCACGACGCTTCTAGGTTGGTCCCCGTATAAAATTTGTTCTTTAGTTTGCAATTCTCGACTCTTCATAATTCCATGTGGCCGAGGCCTTTCGTCCTACAGAAGATTAACAGTTATTTAAAAATCAGTGACAAACTAGTCTGGCATCAACTAAATAAACAACTGAAAACCTTCTCTACAGTAACGTCACTTATATATTTCACGCGCCTTTATCTTTATTAGTGTTCCTCGACTTCCATCTAAAGCTGGCATTGAAGAATACCGGTCAATGTGCCTTGTATAACTCTCATTGTATTCTCTCGTCATCGTTGACTGAGCCGAATCACCCATAGGTTTCAAATTAGGCATGTAGGGCCATCGTTTTTCTTCCTAGGTTGTTTTTTTTTGCTCAGAAACAATAGAGTTAATAAATTTAGCACAGTTACTAAATCAGTAAGTTATCTGACAACACCAAACGAAGCAAAGAAAAAGGTTAGAAAAAATATACAATTGACTTTCACAAACCAACACACCTCAGCATGCGTTGTTTGTACAGCAACATTTGAGCGTGACGTCTCCGACCTCAAATTAGGAGAAAGGTCAGTACGAACTTTTAGAAGACCGTTGTCATTTTTTGCTGCCCCATTAATGGATACAACTGACCGCGGAGAAAAAGACTGAGTTGAAAACTGCCAAGTAGCTGATGAAACATCCTTAAATACGAATTCACCCACACCACAAGCAAACAAATAAATCTGATATCCATTTAACGATTACTGTTGTTTGTAAAAAAGCTATAAAAAAACAAAAAAACAAAGTTCAAGCTAATGGTACGCAATAGCAGCCACTCAAACACGAAATTTTTCTCCCTGATCACTCCTGTCATGATTTTTTCCACCTGTCCGGCAATTGTGTCTATAGAATCTTACAGATATCAAGGTATACTCAAAGCAGCTTTCAAAAAATTTGATGTTTACGACTTTCATTTCCGATTTACAGACTACCACAAAACTGCTTTTTCAAATAACTAAATTTTTCTAATGAATTCTTACCTTCAATGATTCCCCTCACTAATACCCGGTTTAAAAAATATTGGAATAGCAAACTGCCTCTTGAAAAGGTCATTTTTTCAAAAAACTTGCGAGTGTTTAGGAATAGCTCAAAAAACGTAAAAAGATAAACAGCCTGCCAAAACTTAATGATAATTTTAATCATCTCGTTCCAACATCATTCAAAGTTGGCGTTATCTAACACAGTGGTATATTTGACCGTATACTGATCAGTATCCTGCATACCGTTATATATCCAGATCGATCTTGCTGAGGTATTGTTGAATTTGCTGAAGTATCGTTAGATACCCGTGACTCAAGCATTTCACGGATCTGCTCCTGAATACTCCCCGGTTTAAAATAAAGCTTCACACAGTTAATAATGTTAGTAAAAAAGCTTAAATTTAGAACAAACTATAAATTTGTAAGTTACACGCGCATCTAGTTATGACTACTGTGATGAACTAGCTCCAGAAGCATGTTAAATATCTCAGATCGGCAACAAACTTCGGTATTCCAAACCAATAATCCACATTTTTCAATTTTAACAAATCGAACATTCTGTAGACTGTGTTATTCTGGTTTGTGCAGAACCGAACATCAAATTTGCACAACAGAAGATCTAAACAACGCCAAACCTTGAGAGATGCTGGTAGTGGCTCAGGAGGAGTCTTTACAATTTCAGAATCAATAAGCTTATAGTCTGCCCTTCTACTCTTGGATCTTTTTCGTAGAATTTCACCTTGTTCCGCTAACTGCTCTAGTTCTGTGTTCTAAAATTTAATTTATGTCAGACGGATTTGTCAACGAAACGAATTATCCAGAATTTAATCCAGTGTTTTTTATGCTCATTACTTACTGCCGTAAGACGGCAACATTTTCCTTTGAAAAAGTTTTTAATTTAAAAAAAAAAAGTATTAACAAGCATCTTAGCGAAGCTTTCACTAAAAACACAATGCAGTTATTTCTGAAGACAGGTATCGACCAAGAAATGTAAGAACTAGTACTCTAAGATAATTAAGACCAAAAACACAACAAGTGAGAGAAGCAACGAACACAGCACTACTTAACAAGCTCCAATTTTTTAAAATCTATTAGAAGCCAAATAAAACAAATTTAAACCTTACACTAGGTAAAAAGAAACAAATTATTATTATCATTAATGATAATATTATTATGCAAAACATACCAAGAAACAATATTAACCTATGCAGCTACTTTAGCCTGAATTACACTTGACTCTATAACGATAAAGAAAAAAAAAACAAAATGGTGTTGAAGTTCATAACAACGCCCATTTCTGCCTATCACAATTTCTTTAAAATCATAAATAAACAAGTTTTTAAAAGAAAAAGATTTGTTACAAACAGTTACAATTTTAGCAGAAGCATACCTTCTTCGATCCTTCTGCAGTCGCCTAAAAAAAAAATTGATTAGCATATTTCGGTAAGAAACAACTGAATTGACAAATAAATGTTGTTAGACACAAAAAAAGCAAGAAAAAACAGAAGGAACTGAGACGGCAAGAATTTGAACCTGAAACGCCTGAAAACGATCATCATTATTACTTTTTTAGAACTTTACATATTGCATCAAAAATGAAAATTCCAACTACCTCTGGAAACCGAAAAAACCCTGTAACAAGCTACCATTCTGAGACTATCGCTGAACGACATTAAAGTTCAATAAATACAAAAAAGACTTTAAATCCGTTTGAGGAATACAATTTAAAAATTTTATTTACCTTTTAAAAATAAAATTCAAAACTGGCAACAATGTTTCGCGTTAAACACAAAAAAAAAAATAGTTCAAATTTCAAAAAGTTTTTGTTCCTAAAGCTTATAACTGAAAATTAAAGATCTTTTGGCCTCACTTATACTTGTTCTGAACAAGAAAATAAGAAAGTAACATCTAGTAATTTTTACATTCTTAGCATAAATTTGTCCCTTTAAGATTAACTTAACGAAATCAACTACAGATGCTGACTTGAAACAAGCGGCAAAAAAATTTCAAGCGACAGACACAGAAAACCCAAAATTAATAATGGGGATTATAAGCAAGCACAAATTCTGGCAGTGAGTTACACATCGACGAAAAACATTCAGATGCAAAAACAGCACAATTGACAAACAATTTCTTTTTTTTCCTTTTTTTTTTTTTTTTTTTTTTTT